GTAATCTTCAGGTCTAAATTAGCGGCTCTGACTCATCCTTTACTGGACTGATGACCTTGGATAAACCATCTGGCCTCTCTTGGCCTCATGGCTTCTTCCTCACCAACCTCAGTATCTGCCTCCAAACCTCCAAGGCTTAGTGTAAGATTCAAATACAAAAATTGAATGAGAAAACATGGGTAAATAATGTAGCTATATATTTTTCCAGTCTTCTTTCAATCATTTTTTAAATTTTGAAATGTGAAACTATGATGAATATTGAGATTTGTACTCTTCACATTTTAATGTAGTATAGTAGTTGTTACAAAGAAAAGATTCTGTATAAATTCATGTCAGTTATAGAACACTCTAATGCTCATGTACACACAGTTTAAGCAGCAGACATTACTGTGTGTCTACTTGTATTGTCCTCTCCATCACAGTCACTTGATTTCTCCCCGAATGAAGTCACCTCCTTGAATGTTGTGTTTATTATTCCATTCCAAAATAGTTTTTTGGACATTTTTACATAAATGGCATATTGCTTTGTTTGGCTTCTTTTTAGCCTCGTAAAAATAGACTATATAATATTCTGGAGTTTGCTTTTCTTTCACTCCACGTTATGTTTCTAAGCTCTGCATGTTGTTCAGTCTGACTTGTTCGTTTATTGGCACTGCTCTGTAATATCCATTGCTGAAATAAGCTTATTTAGGTTGTTTCCAATTTTGGCTCTGGCAAAGGATGCTATTTAAATATTCCTCTGCTAGTCTCCAGTTGCCATGTTGAGCTCTGGGTCAAATATCTAGAAGTGGAATTGCTAAGGCATAAGGTCTTCAAAGATTTAACATTACAAAATAGTGCCAAATTGATTTCCAAAGTTGTCATAGCAAGTTACATGTGCATCAGTGATGTGTAAGTGTTCCCATTCCCACTTCCAATCCGCTATTAAAGTTTTCATTTTTAAAAAGCATATTTAACTTCCAAGATCTCTTTTTTGTTCTCTGCTTTCCTCATACCATCCTGTTTTCACTTTATGGATACTACATCTTCTTACTTCTTTCAAGGGATACTAATGATATAAACTGGAGATTATTTTTTAAAGAACATCAGTTTGAACTTTTTTTTTTTTAATTTGCTCTAGGGCACATGCAGTTGCCAGAGACTGAGGAGAGGGGGAAGAGTGAAGGAAATTGAGAAATCATTCACTAGGCAGGATAGCCATGGCACAATCCCTTCTTCTACACTCTCCTCTTGGGATTCTGGAAATGTGCGTGCGTGCGCACGCACACACACACACACACACACACACACACACTTGGGGTGTTTTTTGAGCTGCCAAGTCTGGCATTCAGGCTCCACAATTGGCCATGTGGGATCCAGACACCTAAACCCCCATGTCAATTGGCCCCAAACTGGGAATTTTTAAAAAGTTTTCTTGCTATATCCAATGTCATTTTCTTTTCATTCATTTATCTATTTATTTGTTGTTCTTTTGGGTAGGAGATCTTTCTTAAATGACTGTTAATCTTTGGTTATCCACATTTTTTTTTTTGAGAGGTTTTTGCTATAGGGCGCGTGCGCTCGCCAGAGAGAGACAGAGAGACAGAAAGCGAGAAATCACCCCCCACAGGGGATGGCCACGCCACAATCTCTTCTCCTCCACTCTCCTCTAGGGATCTTGGGCACACATGCACACACACCTGGCGTGAGTTTAAGCCACCGGGTCCGGGCCGCGAACCGCGGTCGACTACGTGGGAGTCCAGCAATATAGCCATTACGCTAACTGCTGGTCCCGGTTATCCACATTTGAAAGTATGGCAATAAATGTTTATTGGAACCTCGTTGTATGGGTTAGCTTTTAGACTACTTTAGACTTTGTGTTTTGGAGGTCAGATGGAAATCAGTTATTCCCTGGAGGCTACCCAAGTGCACACATAGGAGGTCTATTTTTCTTAAGCCACCTCTCCAAAGAAAAAGGTTGATTTCTTATTTATGGTAGTACTCTAGGCTAGAGTTTTGCACCAGGATAAGAAGGGTAATAAGAATCAATCCCTTTTTTTTTTTTTTTGGAGAGATTTTCACTGTAGGGCGCGTGCGCTCGCCAGACAGACAGAGAGAGACATAGAGACAGAAAGCCAATCCCTTCTCCTCCATTCTCCTCTCGGGATCTTGGGCACGCACACACACGCGCCCAGCGTGAGTTTTAAGCCACTGGGTCCGGGACACGAACCGTGGTCGACTACGTGGGAGTCCAGCAACGTAACCATTATGCTAACTGCTCATTCCCAAGAATCAATCCCTTTTGACATAGGGAAGTTCCTACCTGACCACCTTCTCTCCCTTACCTTAGCCATATTTGAGTTTTCCTGTATAAAACAGACTATATCATGGTCAAGATTCTCTTGCTGCTGGCCCGTCTTATTCATTGCCTGGTGCTTTATAACATTGCAGACACGGATGGCTGCCACCCCAATAGCCATTGCTATTGCTTCTCCCTTGCTTGACCCTGTCATAGGTGTTCTTTTCCCAGAACACTTAGAAGATAAGAATGTGCATGTGTCATGTAATCCATCTTTCTGGAAAAGATTTCTCTACCATGATGAAAGGCAGGTGGAGAAAGAAACTGCCCCCACACAGTTTCCCTCACTTTCAGCTTTTGAATGAGATTGCATGAAGACATACACAATGATGAAGCCGTGGAAATCATCTTGACGCATGAGGGAAAGGCCAAGCGTATCGCAGGTTGACTCAGCAGGTTTTGTGCTATCATTAAGCCACTGGGTCACAGCTGGATCACTGGCTTTGATCCCCTGATTTTCATTCTCTTTCTCTTTTTTGTCACTCATATCCTTTTCCCATTCTCCTCTTCTCTAATCACCTTCTTCACATCTTTAAGAGCTAGGGATGAGTCAGGGGCACAGGCAAAGTTACAGGACCTTAACTCTCCTCATTAGGTCTTCTCCGAAACAAGATAGAGTATGAATAAACTAAAGAGCAGCTCTCCCAGGTCTAATTTCTCAGTTCTTCCATTTCTCCTCCTACTCGTTGCCAGAGTGGCCTTCATCTGTAGGTCATTCTTCTGCCATGTGTTCTCTACTGGTTTCTCATAGTCCTTAGGATAAAATCTAAATTTATTTATTTATTTATTTATTTATTTATTTATTTATTTATATTTTTTAAGAGAGAGTTTTGCTATAGGGCATGTGTGATTGCCAGAAAGACAGAGAGACAGAAAGCAAGAAATCACCCCCTAAGGGTGGCACACACACACACACTCAGCGTGAGTTTTAAGCTGCTGGGTCCAGGACTTGAACCATGGTCGACTACATGGGAGTCTAGCAACATAACCATTACGCCATCTGCTGGTCCCCAAATCTAAATTTATTAACCTGCTTCCTCAAAGTTCTTCAGAATATGCTGGCTATCTTCTCTCTACCCTCACCTCCTTCCGTTGTGCCAGCCTTGTTGAGACCCTCAGGGTTTCTGGAAGTGTGTGCTAGGCCATTTTATCTCTAGAACTCTATTCTTCCTGCCATAAACACACTTCTCCTTCCTTTGTTTGCCTAACACACTCCAACTTTCCCTTGTGTTCAAATGTCACCTCCTCTGGGAAGCCTTCTCTCTCCCAGATCGGGCTAATCGCTCAGCCCTTTAACTTTGGGCAGTCCCCTAGTAGAACTGTTTTCTCTCAGCAGTGCCTTTATGTGTTTCTAGGTCTGTCTTCTCCACCAGACTGACGGTTCTTTGAGAACAGAAAAAGTGTCTTGTTTTTCTGTCTCCAGCATAGAGATATACCCGTACATGCCTCTTGCTGACTTCCTAATTTATCCTAACAAATACTGACTGGACTTTGGAAATTGGTATCATCTTCCAAACGATAAGCCACATTGTAATAAAATTTTAAAACAGAAAAATCATCCCCAATTCCATATCCTTAACAGTTTTGTGGTTAAGATCTGAGGAACCAATCTTTAGTTAAGATAAGGGTTTGTAGCTATTCTATAGACAAACGTGTGCCTTGAGAAGAAAAATAGACTACCAAACGTTTTCCTATGGAGAGCTAAACTAGAATTATAAGGAGTTAATTCAGGTAACTTTTAATTGTCCACCTGATAGTCAACGAGACTGATAAGACCTATTTCCTTCTCCAGTATCAACCTAGACTATTTTAATAGGTAGCTGGATTTTTAAAAGAAATGAACCTCTAAATATCAGGCAGCATTAGTGTCTCTTAAATTTCTCTTATATAGAAGAAACCAGAATTTCATATAGGGTTTGTAAATGCCAGAGGAACTTTGCTTTCTTAAGTATAAATATTTGCACTGAAAGAACTCAGGTCAGCTTAGAAATACCATGTAGGCTGGAGGGCTGTAAGAAATCATACAGTTTTGGGACCAGCAGGTGGCGTAATGGTTATGTTGCTGGACTCCGGGGTGTTTTTTGAGCTGCCAAGTCTGGCATTCAGGCTCCACAATTGGCCATGTGGGATCCAGACACCTAAACCCCCATGTCAATTGGCCCCAAACTGGGAATTTTTAAAAAGTTTTCTTGCTATATCCAATGTCATTTTCTTTTCATTCATTTATCTATTTATTTGTTGTTCTTTTGGGTAGGAGATCTTTCTTAAATGACTGTTAATCTTTGGT